TCTCGCCTGGTCTTTCCCCTCCGTGGCCTGTTGCAGTCGTGCCGGGTAGTCCACTGCTGCGGAGAGCAGACACGACAAATCAGGAGGAAGCGTTTTGTGGTCTGTGATGCTTGGTGCAGGTGGCGTAGCTGTTCTGGGCTCCTTTCTAAACCTGCTTCTACTGCCTGGAGTTAGTTACCCGTAATCGTTGGGAGCAGTATTTAATAACTGAAGGGATCCCTTGCAGGGATGTGCTGCAGGAGAGTGACAACTGTTGCCATTTCTGGGGACAGTAGACTCGACTTGATGTCATGTGGAAGTGTTAAAGTGTTAAACACTGCATGTGGGTAAAAGTGCCCAGCTGCATGACAGCAGAGCTTCCAGCAGAGCAGTGCCACGCGCTAGCTGTTGGACCATGGTTAACTCCTTATAAACCTGAGATTGCTGTACGATTAAATATAACTTTAATTCATCAAGTGGACAGAAAAGCGTGGTGAATTTCAGCAATTCAGCATTGGCATAAAGGAAATATTTTGCCTACGGCTCTCGCTTGAGCACATCCAAAGCCATCCCTGCGTGTAGCTGAGCAGAGCTCCAGGGGATTGATTGCAGCTTGGTAGTCTCTGAGAACATGGGAAAATCTTGCATGACAGGGAAATTCATTGCAATGCCGAAGAGTTTCGGATCTGCCCAGGCTGCTCAGTTCCTAACAAAATAATTACGTAGTGACATGAATTGAAAGATTACCTCATGCCCCGGAGCCTCCTTTATGATTTTCACTGGCTGGGAATGAGATGGCGCTCTGGGCTTTATCAAGGCAGCCAGGGAGGCTGTAGCTCCCTAACACCGCTTCAGAAGGTAAATGCTTTCTGAGTTGCACAAAGGAGAAGTGACTATGATTTAAATCTCCCTCCAACTGCTTCCCCCTCTGCATCATGGCAATACCAGGCTCAGACCTGATGTTAGGTGTCCCCATCCTGGGGACATGGAAGAAACCCAGTATTTCTACCTTAAGATTTCTGTCTTTTGCATGCCAGTTGTTCTCAAAATAGGTGGAGGCAAGCAGGCACTGCCCTGATGAGAAAGCTGCAAAATACCTGCCCTGTTATGCGAAAGGTTGCTTTGAAAGCTGTTAGATGCTGCACAGGGCGATGTGTAGCAGTCCCCTGCAGTGCTCTGCCCTTGCGGTGCGTGTGTACTAATGTGTTTGCATTGGCATGGGTAAAGATGGAAATAGAAACCCCGTGGGTGGGCTATGGTATGAATATCAGATTTGTGCTTGGTGTTTCCCAACATACTGAAGACACTGCTATAGCCGTGTTGGATAGATTAGAGCTAGTGTAGCCGTACTTGCCATGTGCATATTCACTCAGACGTGTGTGGTAAATAAAACTAAGTTCCTGTTCCTTGTTAATAACCGATTATCAGCAATGACAAAGGTTGTTTTTTTTTTTTCTGGTGACACAGTGTCATGGGTTTTGGTTGTACAAAACCCAGCTTTAGCACAGCCTTATTTCACAGAGGGATGGGAAGTAGAGAAGGGTTAGGCTTTTAGTATACAATTGAGAGAAATTTCAGGAGGTAGCTTTATACCTTCTCTGTTGTTGCTAGTTACCCTACATCCAGCCTCCTTTACTGGTGAAATATCATAATCCCTTAAAAAAAATTCTTCCTAGTTAACAGTAACTCCATCTCTTCTGAGTTAGGAAGACATAAATTTCCTTTAGTTAAAATGATGTCTCTTTTAGTGAGATTGTTTGGGCATGGAGTTGTTGGGGTAGGTGTTGGGAATAAACATGTCAGCGAGTCGAGAGAGGTTCACATTGCCTACAGATTGGGTACTCTGCAGGACTGTGTAATTCCTCTCATGTAGCTGGCGGTTGTCCTGTAACCTTGTGTGCCAAGCAAGCTTGGCCGAGCCTGGGGCTCCCTGCCACCGTGCAGTGGGGCAGGGTGCCCTCTCCACTGGGTACTGGGAAAAGAAGTCTGTTTTTTTTGCCTGAGACTCCTGGCTGGAAAACCTCAAAGGCCGGTGGGGTTGCTCAGAGTCAACAGCTGCATGGACTGCTTCTCAAGTGAAGAGGAGAGCGGGATGATAGGAAAAAAATGGTGGCTTTAACGGTAGCATAAACATGTTGTGTAAAGAACTGTGTTGCTTAGGGCCCAATGCCACCCATCCCCATTAAGCTTTTGAATACCAGAATGAAGTACTGGAGTGTGCTACCCACAAACGTCATTTGTGGGATGTGAGTCATTTGGTTTAACCCAGGTTATAATTTGAATAAATGGTACATGCTGGACGGGATTTTTCTTTAGCACTCTGGCAGCAGCCAGGTCAGCCTGTGTTCAGTCCATTGAGACTTCCATCTGTTTGCCACTGTCAAAGGAAATAATTCCTTGACTTTTAAAATTAACATTTATTTGAGTTCAAAGGTCAAGTGATTGCTTTGTCTTGGCATGCTTTTATGTCCAGGATCAAGAAGGACATAAATTAGATAAATTAATTACATTTTTTTTGCTTACTCCATGAAACAAATGAGTAAAAGATAGGTATAAACCCATTGCTTTTTAGGAGATATAAAAAGGTCTACCTGAATGGAGTCAGCAAAAGAAAATGTGAGTCAACTTGAGTCAGCAGTGTGCCCTGGCAGCCTAGAGGGCAAACCGCATCCTGGGGTACATCAAACACAGTACAACCAGCCGGTCAAGAGAAGTGATTATCCCGCTGTATTCAGCGTTGGTGCAGCCTCACCTTGAGCACTGTGTGCAGTTCTGGGCCCCACAATTTAAGAAGGA